GAGTCAACCACAGGCTGCAACACTTCATGAACTGGCTCAAACACTGCTCGAGGAATGGAGAAGGATTCCCCAGGCCAGAATTCAGAGACAAATACAACCAATGCCTAGACGTTGCCCTGCGGTTATGCAGGCACGTGGTGGTCATAACAGATATCGAACTTGACGTTACCACTGACCATCTGTACGACATCCGTCGTCCGAAACCTATTGTAACCATGATTAACCATGACAGACAATGTCCTGTATGAAGTAAACTGCTTGTGTAGTAACAAGCGGCCACTTATCGTTTATTTCAACCAACACACGAAAAACAAATGAGGTTGTTATTAAATTGATTCAATAAACTAATTAACAATCGTTCACTTATCTTTAAATTCAATCAAAACAAAAGCTAATAATCAATCCTATATGTATTAATTTCAACCAATACGCTAATTAACAATCGATCATATATTTATACATTCAACCATTACACTAACAATCCGACCCTTATCGTTAAATTCAAACCCGAAGATCCGGGTTAGAATTGGTCTTCAGCAACCCATGCTTGTCGTAAGAGGCGACTGACAGTCTCACTCTGATGCTTCCTTACAGGTCCATGGCAATTGCAGCGGAGACTGGAAAACACCAAACTAATTATGTTTCCCAAACCTGCATGTTTGTAGAATATGTAGCATGCTATCACTGCCTTAGGCACTGCAATTCGCTGTACAGAGTTGCGCCCCTTTGGCAAGCAAGACAACTATGATTGTGGGTTCGAATGTCGGTTTGCCCCGATTATGTTTCTAGGTTTGTCAACACCATACCCATGCTCGTGGGTTTCACCAAAGTGGTAAATGTCTGAGACCTGCATCACTTCGGTCTTTCCTCCCACATTAAGCTGACACGCCGTGATATAACTGGAATACCCTGCGACGAGGCGTTAAACCCAACTCACTCACTAACTGCCTGATTGAAGCTTGTCATGTTTTATCCAGCCCTGGACTGTAGTCCGATTTCTATTAATGATGTGCGAGAATAGGTATATTTGATACTTTGGGTGTGGATATGTATACTTTTCATAATAGTAATATCCTATCTACAAAAGACCATTTAACTACATTCTATTAACTTTTATATATATTAATTTTGATCAAAGCAATAACTCATATCTGATCTCATGAGTCAGCATGATATCATGTAAGCGCCAGACAAGTGTCAGTTTAATAGACACTGCTATTCATCAACTAGATACTAGTACATGTTCAAGGACTGAAAGAATAACGAGTCTGATTACTTCCATTGCAACGAATACCGATAGAAACATTAACTTTGCTTGCAAAATCAAGACAATGAAAGTGACCGTGGAGTACATAAAGAGTGAGTGGGTATAGTTTTACGCCGCTTTTAGCAATATTCCAGCAATATAACGGCGGGGGACACCAGAAATGGGCTTCACACATTGTACCCATGTCGGGAATCGAACCCGGGTCTTCGGCGTGACGAGCGAACGCTTTAACCACTAGGCTACCCGACCGCTCCAGTACATAAAGAGATAAGGGGACATACGAAGGGCAGCCAGTTTAACAGGGCGGGGTACGATGGGCCAGTCTACTCAGGTGATGTGTGCTCAGTAGGAAAGTCCGATTCCCGGATTCGCTCTGATCATGTTTGTAGGTTGTCAGCACCATGCCTCATGCTCGTGGTTTCACCAAAGCTGTAAACATCACCTGCATCACTTGTGGGTGTCTTTCTACACTAAGCTGACACGCCCTACTATAAGTGGAATACTGTTCAAAGCGGCGTTAATCCCAACTCACTCACTCACTTTGACAGGGCACATACATCGAGAACAGCATTTGTTCAGGGCACAGACATCGAGGAGGGCATGTGTTCAGGGCACAGACATCGAGAACAGCATGTGCTCAGGGCACAGACATCGAGAACAGCATTTGTTCAAGGCACAGACATCGAGGACATAATTTGTTCAGGGCACAGACATCGAGGACATCATGTGTTCAGGGCACAGACATCGAGGACGGCATGTGTTCAGGGCACAGACATCGAGGACGGCATGTGTTCAGGGCACAGACATCGAGGACGGCATGTGTTCAGGGCACAGGCATCGAGGACCTCCCTCTGTACTCCTGACCCCATAAAGTGCGTCTCTCAACTTCACTCTGCACTCCTGACCCCATGAAGTGCGTCTCTCAACCTCACTCTGTACTCCTGACCCCATGAAGTGCGTCTCTCAACCTCCCTCTGTACTCCTGACCCCATGAAGTGCGTCTCTTAACCTCACTCTGTACTCCTTACCCCATGAAGTGCGTCTCCCAACCTCACTCTGTACTCCTTACCCCATGAAGTGCGTCTCTCAACCTCACTCTGTACTCCTTACCCCATGAAGTGCGTCTCCCAACCTCACTCTGTACTCCTGACCCCATGAAGTGCGTCTCCCAACCTCACTCTGTACTCCTGACCCCATGAAGTGCGTCTCTCAACCTCCCTCTGTACTCCTGACCCCATGAAGTGCGTCTCTCAACCCCACTATGTACTCCTGACCCCACGAAGTGCGTCTTTCAACCTCACTCTGTACTCCTGACCCAATAAAGTGCGTCTCTCAACCTCACTCTGTACTCCTGACCCCATGAAGTGCGTCTCTCAACCTCACTCTGTACTCCTGACCCCATGAAGTGCGTCTCTCAACCTCCCTCTGTTCTCCTTACCCCATGAAGTGCGTCTCTCAACTTCACTCTGCACTCCTGACCCCATGAAGTGCGTCTCTCAACCTCACTCTGTACTCCTGACCCCATGAAGTGCGTCTCTCAACCTCCCTCTGTACTCCTGACCCCATGAAGTGCGTCTCTCAACCCCACTATGTACTCCTGACCCCACGAAGTGCGTCTTTCAACCTCCCTCTGTACTCCTTACCCAATAAAGTGCGTCTCTCAACCTCACTCTGTACTCCTGACCCCATGAAGTGCGTCTCTCAACCTCACTCTGTACTCCTGACCCCATGAAGTGCGTCTCTCAACCTCCCTCTGTTCTCCTTACCCCATGAAGTGCGTCTCTCAACCTCCCTCTGTTCTCCTTACCCCATGAAGTGCGTCTTTCAACCTCCCTCTGTTCTCCTTACCCCATGACGTGCGTCTCTCAACCTCACTCTGTACTCCTGACCCCGTGAAGTGCGTCTCTCAACCTCACTATGTACTCCTGACCCCATGAAGTGCGTCTCTCAACCTCACTCTGTACATCTGACCCCATGAAGTGCGTCTCTCAACCTCACTCTGTACTCCTGACCCCATGAAGTGCGTCTCTCAACCTCACTCTGTACTCTGACTGCTTGTGAAGATACAGTGTATGAAGTTATGGTTTGTCTTATGACAGAAGTGATGTTCAGCAGTCGGTGTGTGTTCCCCGCCGTAATATTGCTGTAATGTTGCTAAAAGCGTGGTAAAACTATATTCACTCACTCATGATGTTCAATCTGATAATCTCAGTATCGTAATTATACGTATAATTTATCAGTGAATTCACATATTTCCGTACTGAATATATATTTCACGTTGGTTGATTTCACTGTTTAGAGGATCTATTCACACTCTTGCTTAAAACCCAAAACTTTGGGAGAGCAAGCTAATTACAGCGTTTCGATTTTACGAGACATTTACATCGTTATGGCATGTCTGATGTTTGGAACGGTATGGAGACTGTTTTAAGCATTTCCCTTGAAGCCGAGATCTGCATGTGGCGGGGCATACGACGTGCGCTCTTCAATGAACAAGGGGAAAACTGAAATGCAATTATTTAAGATCAACCTGCCCACTGTAATCAATACATGCTACAGTAATAATTACACAACTACGTCACAAAGCCGCAACTGTCCGAGCTGCTCGTGGTTGGGAATCTCACAAAACGGTAACGAGATGACGAAAGTCACTCGCCCAACCGGCTGGTTCAATTTCAGAGACAACTAATGTTGACTACCTGTGTGCGTGCGTGCGTGCGTGCGTGCGTGTGTGTGAAAGAATCGGAAAGTGCTTACATAGTAAAGGAGTGTTATGTATAACAACTTCTTTATATACTACTCAAAAGAAGTTAAGGACCACCCGAGTCTTTAATGGTCCTTAACCTGTATTAGTAGTATATGTGACCACTTGTCATAATCACCCAAGGAAAACTATGTTTACTACCACAGATAAAATACCCTATGGAGATCCGGGGTAGAATAGGTCTTCAGCAACCAATGCTTGCTGTAAAAGGCGACTATGCTTGTCGTAAGCGGCGACTAATGGGATCGGGTGGCCAGGCTCGCAGTCTTGGTTGATAACTGTCATCGTATCCCAATCGCGTGGATCGATTCTCATGACATCAATCACTGGATTTTCTTGTTCAGACTCGATTATTCACAGACCACCGTCATATAGCTGGAATATTGCTGTGCGGCGTTAAACAGCAAACAAACAAACACACCTCAGATAAAAAGAAGGGTAGGTCGTGCTGAAGGGTACTGTCAGACACCTATACGTCCTGCAGCTCTCTGTAATCCGAAACAGCTTTGCGCACCACGTTACACCACCAAGAGTATTTAGAAGGTAAACAAGTTACAAGTTTTGCTTCATGTCTTTAAACAAGTAATTCTGAAATGATTCAGACAAACTTCTTGTACTTGAGTTAACAACGCCAGGCAATCAGCCTTTACGTAAGTCGTTTCAGAACGTGAGGAAAGCGTCTTATTTACGATTTCCACTTGGAAACTTCTTTCTCCATTTACAACCGACTCCGTCAAATTACTGCTCTATTTTTATGTTGCGTAAACCCATTGACATACAACCCTTTTCGTTATGACATCATTTTTCTTCATTACTGCTCTGCAATTTGTAAACGAGAATTTCTCCACTGAGAGAATTAAATGGAACTTCAAAAACGTCAGGCGAATGAAGCGCTGAGCGGCAGGTGAAACCCAGTAGATCGCCCCAACTGTGTTGAGGGAGCTTGTAAAATCAATACAACATGTCATTCCGTTACAGTTTCCGATCCAAGTTTTCATAGCCTCATGTGTTCAATAAGGCAGCCTATGCATTCATTGCGGCAGATTGTGTCGGCTGCTACTGTAGTCAGCTGCTCAAGTGGATCACGCGGAATGTGGATTTGCTCGTTTGGGTAGACGTTGTGAAGCAGACGAACTTAACCCATGCCAAGAAATACAAGCAAGAGCAGCCGGGAGGAGGGGACGAATTGAATAAAAATGGATGGAACGGACGAAAAGTGGGGTGAAACTGACAATTCTTTGAATCATTCAGCTTCTGTGGATGGAGCCAAATGGATAACCCACAGCGAGCAGACGACACTGGGAAAAGAAGAAAAAGTTTCTTTTTGGCGGTTGTTTATGGACAACAGGCTTCAAGTTGTCACCTATTGTCTCGTGTTCGGCAGTTTTGGAGTTTGTGTTGGATTCCTTGGCCCAACAGTGTTTGATTTGGGATGTCAAACGAACTCCGATCTGAAGGAAATGAATTGGGTCTTCTTTGTGCAACTCCTCATGACCTTAGTAGGATCGATAACATCAGGCTGTATGGCCGACAGGTAAGTTGACATACTGTCCTAGGACGAAACACAGTTTTGTAGAGGGCTATTTAACTAATTAACGCCCTGTCCTATACCGCATGTACCTTGCTTCGTGCGAGATACTGTGACCAGTCGATGCTACATGTGTTGAACGGTCAAGGCTGCCTCTTGTTAACACGACAACCATCTTTCACACGTATTATACAGTATTGATGATGGATATTTATTATTGAAGTATTAAATCCACAGACCACATACTGCACACATCAACATTGTGACGAGTCGATGCTGATATAACGTTTAAAATGGTCCATGTTTCTCTTTTGACGTGTTGAGCATTTTGAACTGTTTTATGCAGCATCGTTGATTGCTATTTAACACTGAGCTATGGAATTCCACACAACACAGCTCCGTTTTAACCACCGTGTCAAGTCGACGCGGACATGATTTGTTTGAATGATCAATCGTCTAGTTTGCCTTTTGTTCGCTTTGGCAACGATTGTGAACACATTGTATTGATAAATTTGAGCATTACAAAATCGGTTGGTCTACGTGACATTGTGGTTCGTTCAGGACATGCCGCATGACATAACTCCAATATTAAACACTTGGCCCGGTTTCACAAAGCTGTCTTATATGATATGCTTGTCCTAAGCTAGTAACATGGGTAGAGATGCATTTTCTTTCAAGTGTGCAACAGGGCACCCCTAACGATGTTTGAATGTTCCTTTTGAAAGTTAAGTGTGCCAGCAAGAAGTCTACTCTTGATCCGTCTTTGAAGTCTGTGAATGTCATTTCACCATGAGGTAGTTTCCCCCCTTCCATAAAGTTGAGATCCGGGGTAGAATAGGTCTTCAGCAACCCATGTTTGCCGTAAAAGGCGACTATGCTTGTCGTAAAAGGCGACTAACGAAATCGGGTGGTCAGGCTCGCTGACTTGGTTGATGCAGGTCATCGATCCCAATTGCGTGGATCGATGTTCATGATGTCAATCACCGGATTGTCTGGTCCAGACTCGATTATTTACAGACCTCCGTCATATAGCTGGAATATTGCTGAGTGCGGCGTTAAACAACAAACCAACCAACCAACCAATCCATAAAGTTGATAATGCAATTTTCTGTTTTTGAATCCCCAGGATTCTTTCTTTTCATCATACTGTCCATTGAACATGTTCATTTGTTCGTGTGTTCATATATGTTCATTTTTATTTGTTCATGTGTTCATATGTTCATTTTCCATGTGTTGATTGTTCATGCGTTTGTCCCTGGGAAATCTTGCACAACAATAACTGGTACGATATATTTGGAGGTCATTAACTTCTTGCTGTATTCTTGTCATGCAGTGCCAGATGCATTTTTATACCATTGGGCACCCGATAAATAGATAGATATTCGGATGTTTTCTCCCCAGAGGGCTGACACTGTTTACCAAATGAATCATCTGATGTAATCATTCCTATGCATTGTATTTCCTTATCTAAGGCCCGATTTCAGTATTCTGTTATAACCCCAATTAGAAGACGGTCCTTACCAGAGGCCTTTCCTTGTTCCTTTTGTATGTGTGACGGGAAGGGGCACCTAAGGTTTGTAAACACCCCTCTCTGTAAATGATTGGTTAATTAAACAGGTCCATCTGCCAATGATTGGTTAATTAAACAGTTCCATCTGCCAATGATTGGTTAATTAAACAGTTCCATCTGCCAATGATTGGTTGATTAAACAGTTCAATCTGCCAAAGATTGGTTAATGATACAGCTCCATTTGCCAGTAATTGGTTAATTAAACAGTTCACCCTGTCACTGATTGGCTAATTAAACAGTTCAATCTGCCAAAGATGGGTTAATGATACAGCTCCATTTGCCAGAGATTGGTTAATTGAACAGTTCCATCTGCCAATGATTGGTTAATGATACAGTTCCATCTGCCAGCGATTGGTTAATTAAACAGTTCAATCTGCCAATGATTGGTTAATTAAACAGTTCCATCTGCCAATGATTGGTTGATTAAACAGTTCAATCTGCCAAAGATTGGTTAATGATACAGTTCCATTTGCCAGGATTGGTTAATTAAACAGTTCCCACTTTCAATGATTGATTATGTACAACGCCCCCTTTCCCCAGCGATGTTATGCAAATGCTATGGGAGAAATCCTTCGCTGTATAAAAAGGACACTTTCGTGCCTCATGAGCCCTCAGACCGGATATTGTTTGAGTATGACTTTTATGATTGTTTTTTTTCTGTCATACAGTAACTGTAAACAAATAACCTTCTTGTGTATACTATGTTGGAGGTCAGGGCCTTATCTATAACATTAACCCTCGACCCTACCCATTACCTCAAGCTGGACGGGTGCCACCGGTGGGGCAGGATACGGTCACCTTGTCGGGAACATCAGGTATCCTCAGTATTTGTCAATTTTTCATAGACCGCCTCCGTGGTCTTGTGGTAGAGCGTCCGCCCGGAGAGCGGAAGGTCCGGGGTTCGATCCCCGACCGCGTCATACCAAAAGACGTTAAAAGATGGCACTTGTTGTTACCCTGTCTGGGGCTTAAACAAGGACTGGTCGGCTCGGAGTCAGTATACTGTGTCTGAGTGGGGTATTCATGTTAAACTGCGACATGGTATCTCAGTGAGCTAGCACTATAAATCGGCATCAGTCCGGACTGGTGCAAGCAGCCACACAAACACACACACGTACATGCACGTCGCTGTATAAGTGTAATAATCTTGGACGCGACGTTAAACCCCATTTCACCTTACCTCACCTCAATATTTCATAAACTCATGCTTATGATATAGTCGGGATCGTACACTGAACTCTGTTTTAAGCACTGTGTTGTTATGGAAGTGCTCTGTCGCCTTTATTTAGATCGTCAGGTTGTTAATAGAGGACAGATACCGAGATGAGATTCCCCAACTATTTACCTCAGCTAGACTGTAGCCCTCCATGCGGTAAGGAAAACAACCCAACCCCAAGGTATTGACATTTTAGAAGTGGCAAAGTGTCCTGTGATTACCCCTTGTATATTTTATCGTTGCAAATCAGTGTCATTTTGCCCTGTATTCCTGCAAGACTAATGGGCTGTTCTGGGTATGTAGGAACAGAATAGGTAGACATAGTATACTGTACGGGCAAAAGAAAGTATACACTTCAACATTAGATTTCCCCAAAATATTACAAACGTTATCATTACCTTAGTAGGCTGAAAACAGTCGCCAAACATTGCAAACCTAAGGTCCAAAACACAACTATGATACCCGCATCAAATACAGAACCATCGAAAAACCATTTTCTAGTTTGTTTCATTTTTTAACTTCCACCAAACAGGTGTATACTTTCTTTTGCCTGGCTGTTTACTTCGAAACATATCATCCTGCAAACTGATTGATGGACAGATATTTCTTCGTGCTTATTGTACGACCATTTACTTAATTATGAAAGAGGAAAAATAAGACGTTATGAGAGACGGGTTGAGGAAGGCGTTCAACGGGTTCGAGGTCTCTCCTGGTGGTGGCAATATGATACCGATCGTCCAAGGTTTGTTTGCGCACCTGATGCTTGGTGCGTGATGTACAAAGAGAGGAAGACACGCACCGCATGATTTCATCTGACATAATATAGTGGCTGCAGTCATATGGCTTTCAACTCGAATTCCGTCAGTGATCAGGGTGCCGCTGCACAAAACAACCTTAGCGCTACGACTGTCGTAAGTCTATGTTAAGGTATGGGAGTTACGACCACCTTAGCGCTACGACTGTCGTAAGTCTATGTTAAGGTATGGGAGTTACGACCACCTTAGCGCTAAGATCGCTTTTTTACAACGCCACCCAGGAATATTTCGTTTGCTAGTTTTCCGAATCCAGAAGGAAAAAAAGGGCAAAACTTGTCTTTATGCGTTAGGTTTAGATTTCACGATCCAAGTACTTTGCTGGACAATGCCCCTAGGCCGCTAGTCCGAGACTAGTGAATATCTATTGGGACTAGTTGTTTTCTTCCGAAATCTATGTATTTTACATGAACTATTATTCCTAAGTGAGCTACGGACCAGTTCGATATAGGGGGCGGTCGGGTAGCCTAGTGGTTAAAGCGTTCGCTCATCACGCCGAAGACCCGGGTTCGTGTGTACAATGTGTGAAGCCCATTTCTGGTGTCCCCCGCCGTGATATTGCTCGAATATTGCTAAAAGCGGCGTAAAACCATACTCACTCACTCACTCACTAGTTCGATATGGCCAATGGTGACTAAAGCCAAACAACATTTTCAGCACTTATCGAAGTAAAGCATGTTTCCTGATATCCCTGCTTTGCGTTTTCCTCTCAAAGCTTTTTCTCTTTCTCTTTAAAATGTAATTGACATTAGACTTTACGTTTAAAAATAAACACCATGGGCTTAATCAATGTTAGCTGTGTGTTGTCTCCAGAAGTGACTCATTGTGTGGGATTTGTCAGTAACCCATTCACAACACCCGAAAAACGAGTGTAAAGTTTTCTATGTAAACTGCCCTGCAGAAGAAAGTATACACTTAAAAACAGGATTTGACCTACAGATTACAAACATTTTCAATACGTTACTCGGCTGAAAACAGTCGCCGAAACACTGCAAACGTAAGGTCCAAAACATGACTGTGATACCCGTATCAAATACATCGCTATCGAACCATGTCTTGTTTGTTTATTGTTAGCCACCTTCAAACGTGGGTGCATACTTTATATTGCCCGGCATACGCTCGTCACTTCAGCATTCAACGGGAGCTCAACAATTATTCTTTTTATACCACAAATGGCGAAAATAGTAATGTATTTAAGTAGTGAATAGGACACAAATTATTGGTATACACAGTTATTTAAACAAAAACACCACATTAACATGTGAATGGCGTGGAGTCACTGTGTTATGTCAAGATAGGAAAGCGTTAGGATGTTAGCATATGTCAAATATAGCGCAGTGTGATCAGTGATGAGCAGAGGTTTGGCAGTATTTCTAAACATCGCCTTGCTGTTCGATAACACGCCATA